TGAAAATAAAAGGTTAATCGAGTCAGTGTTTCCATAAAAGCGTGATCTTCTTACAAAACAGATAAACAAGTTGAAGATCTAATATCGATTGGTAGGTTACCCCAAAGGAAGGTATACCTGGGGGTGGAAAAGAGAGCTATGGGGATTTTAGGATGTTCAAGGAGGAATAAACATGGTAGGATTGTGGCTATTATGTAGAGGTAGATGCTCAAATCTGTGGATGCTGTGGGCTATCGCTTATGCGGCAATGGCAACAGAAGCCAGCCAAACCTATAGAGATTTACAGTTATATCAATGCCATTTCTTTAATTCAGTATAACCAAGTATATTAAGGGAGATAGGTCGAGTCTCGGAAAATCATACGCATGGATATACGGAGGAAAAATATGCACACGTATAAATAATATTTAGGTCAGTCAATGATGTAAAGTAAATATAAGACCATTAAATATGGACGTTTTTGAAAGTCTCAACGTTTTCCCGCCAAGATAACGGAATTGGACAATCCTTCCCAGCCCCGAAAAACTAAAAATGCTTCCTCTCTCTTATAGACAATGCGGATGGGATATGTTCATGCCTTTAAAATCATCCGAAGGCTAAACTGTGCTCTTCAGTTTCACAATTTCCTCGAGGAGGCGTGAACGACCAAGCTTCGGGGCCCCCAATACAAATTGAAGATAAAATATGGTAAACTTGGAGTGCGTGCCAAATTCTTCTTCCACCGGCTGGCTGAAGTATGGAACAAATTGCCGAACTCCGTTGTCTTGTCGGAAAACGTTGAGACCTTCAAAATGACTTGATAAACTTATGATTGATACTCAAACATTTACTCGATATCAGTTACTGGCATAATTGTTATGTAAATATGTGCATGCTTTTAATACGTATATCTGTAAAAAAAACTTTTCCGAGGCTTTGTCTACATCCCTTATATATACTAAATTATACTGAAAATAAATAAGCTAGTGTGGAAAAATTGGTTTATACTCGAAGTTTTATATATTTTGTCTTCAGTTTGTATTGATGGCCTCGCAGATCGTTCGTTCTTGCCAGTTCAAAAAGTCCCCAAACTATAGAGCACATTCTAGTTCTCTGCCGATCAAAAACGAAAGGGAGGGAATGTGGTTTTGGTTTTCAAATATCTTTCATAAGGTAAAAATATTGATCCGCCTTCCACTTTGGTCTTTCCTCGTTGTACGTCCTCGAAAATGCTGGATTCTAATTTCGTACAGGGACGCCACGCCCAAACGCAGAATTCTTACATTGGCCGAACAAACTTTCGAAACACCCGAACGAAAGTCTCTTCTCCAGAATTTAGGAAGAAGCTCCTGGTCGAATCTAGGATACCGACAATCTTCTTTGCTATCTTGGAGTAGTGAGCCGATGGTTGGAGACAATAATAATAATAATAATAACAACTATATTTAATGCCAATTTACGGGCATTGTCAGGGAAGCGTTAAACACGAATCCGCCCAGCAGTGAAAAAAACTCCCGTCGAAAGGGAATGAAAATAAAGTTGATGGTGGTTTTTATGGTTTGAAGGGTTCAGGAGAAAAAAATCTGCTGACCGAAAACTGTCGGCCGTCGAGAAGGGAGGGGTTGCACGGTATCGGATATTATCAGTCGCCAATTCCTTTCACGAAGTTGGGGCTAGTCAGAACAGAATCATCCAAGAACAGCTGTCGCCGTTGGCCAAATAAATTGTCCCTGGTGAGACCGGCCATAGTGGTCTGAGACCACAAACGTCATCGTTATGGTACAATCGATCAGTGAATTCAGCACCCAAAATTTGTGAATTTTCTCTGAATGAAATATACGAGTAATAGTTCTCTTAAATAAAGGTGCTTTTTCGGAGTTTTCACACTCCTGGGTAGCTTATTCCAAATAGCAATTGCATTTGCAGAAAAGAACCGACGATATTTAATAGTACGTGCCAGAGGAAGAAATAAAAAGACCTCACGGCGACTGTTACGTCGGGGGTGAACAAGATACCTTAAAGTAGTGAGTGGGTTAAAGGTGCAAATAGATATAGGCTTAAATAGCAAGAATAGTCCCTTTTGTAATCTACGAAATCATTAAGGATCAAGGCCTGTGAGCCGACAACGTTCTTGGCAAGACAGATGTCGGTTTTAGGGCTAAAACTCACTTGGTAAAAAAATGTTGAACGGATTATATTTTCTTACGCTCAGCACCACGCATGAGGCTAAATAAAAACGAACAGTATTCCAGACCAGGTCTAACGAACACATTATAAAGGCACACTCTGATGTCCCTGGTTTTAAAATTTCGGAGGATAAACCCGGTCGTTCTACGTGCTTTGAAGACTATCAAGGCACAGTGCTCCAAAAGATTGAGGCTCCTGGAGTATGATACACCCACATCCCAAATAACCCCAGGCACATTTATGGCATGGCTATCAATGCATAGTTGAGGTTGGCGGTCGTCGCCAACCACCATGACTGAGCACTTATGCCAAGAAAGAGAAAGGCGCCATGTGCGGCACCACTGGACAAAAGCCTGTAGGTCGCTCTTTAGGAGCTCCAGCATGATGTCATAATCTGCCGGCTTATATCGATTTGTAACTTTTAGGTCATCGGCATACACGAAAGGCTTACCATTCTGAAATAAATCGGGGACATCGTTAACAAAAAGACAAAATAAAAGCGGGCCGAGTACACTACCCTGAATGACTCCACTCCTCACACGTGTGGGGTTGGAGATGGTATTGGAAATCTTAACTCGTTGTGTGCGAGTACCCAAATAAGAGGATATAAAATTCAAAAGTTTGCCACCTATTCCGAAAGAGAACAGTTTCAAGAGAAGAAGAGCATGGTCAACACGATCAAAAGCCTTAGTGAAATCGAAATATACTGTGTAAAGTGCAAAACCATTGTCCTTAGATTGGAAAACATAGTCGAAGAGAGAGAGTTGACAGGTGTCACAAGATCGAGCTTTGAGGAATCCATGCTGAGCAACACTCAGTAAGTTATTCGCTGTTAAGTGACGCATCATCTTATCTTTGATTAATGTCTCTAGGATCTGCGAAACTTCGGGGAGGGTGTTTATTGGCCGAAAGTCATCAAATGACGTAGATTGGCTGTGCTTGGGAATGGGCAAAATGTGTGATTCCTTACACTAGGTAGGATAGGTTTCACTTTCAAGAGCGAGATTAAATATCCAGCATAAGAGGGATGGGAAAATCATATTTGCATCGGCTTTTAAAGTGCTTACTGGGGCACCATCAGTTCCTGGGCTATGAGATTGACGAAAACGCCGAATCGCAACAGTTACATCCCACAGAATGAATGTTATAGTTTCCAGAACTGCCCCGGTCAAAGCCTGGATGGTCAGAAGTGGAGTGATCGAGTCTTCAGTAAACGTTTTGGAAAGGAAAGCATTAAAGCTATCAGCGGTTAACTGAGCATCAACAATAGGATTTCCAAGAGCGTCTCTGAGGATGGAATGTTGCGTCTTTCTTCGAGTTTGTACTTTTCAGGAGAAAAGTTTCGAGGCATTTAACGAACGTTTTCAGTGAATTGGACCTCTTCGGCCAGCTGCTTTTCTTCAGACAATCTCTTACCCCGCTCAAAAATATCACGAATCAAGGGCAGGACAGAAACGTCGTCCTGAAGATGGAATTGACGATAAAGTCTGCGCAATCGGTGACGAGTGGGTAAGGGTAGGAAAACCTCATCCCCGACATTGATTTTTTTCTTACGAGGGACACAACGAGAAATAAGCGGATCCAAATTTCGTACAGTTTCGCAATGCAAATTTGCATCCGAACTAAAGAAGAAATCAGTCAGTCGTAGGAATTAATTTGTGTAAATAATTCAGTCGAGTGATTTGAATGGAAATCGCGGAAAAAGTTATACCTTGGGGACAGCGTTTGGTCAGCCTCGAGTTCCAACGTTGAAACAACTATGTCATGGTCTGAGCCCCCGAGTGGGCCTAGGGATCGCACTGACGACGGCGTGCAGCCTCTACAGAAAATCAGGTCACGTATGCTTGATCCTCGGCTGGAAAAATCGAAAACCTGAGTCCACATCCCGACATCCACAGCCTCAAGAAAGTCTTCCAACCTTCTGGGGTCGGAAGGCGGAGACCAGCAGACTTCTGGGGGAGTAAAGTCACCCGCAGTCAATTGATACTTAAAGCTTAAGTCGGCCGCAACATGAAATGCCAGTGAGAGTAAGCGATCAAAATTGTCGTTGGCGTTGGGAGGGCGATAAACACAGCCAACGAGTAAGGATAAATTATTTTTTAGTGAAACCTGGAACCAGCAGCTGCCTTCTACTGCGGAAAAATGCGAGAGGTCCAGCGGCAACAATGTGAGTGTTTGCTTAACGTAGACGCAACTGCCCCCACCACGGCTGTCTTGACGATCATTTCGGATGCAAGTATAGCCAGGTTGGTCCCACAGTAGCATGGACGAGTAGATGCTAGTTTCGGCCGGATAAACTCGAAGAACTCAGGCCATGCTTAAATTACATCCAGTGACTAAATTCACTATAGGTGCATGGCTTCATTCACAGGTACAGTCCTGCCAAAGAAAGTGAATACCGCAAGCACACCCTGTGACGCAAACAACGTGGATAGAAATCTTACGCCTAAACAGGCAATAGAGTCAACTACCGCAAATACACCTAACTGTCGAAGACATCGAACCTTATTGGAAGCTAAACAAAATATTGGTTTTAGCAATGAAACCAGCAAAAAAGACGTTTTCCAGAGGATATAAGCATGAGAGAGCAAACTAGTTAGCGCCTTGTATGACTAAACCATATGTAAAGAGTTCCGACAATAGGCATCCAACAATGATAAAGGTGAATGCAGGAGAGTAAAAGACAAAGAATAGGTAGGTTGATTTCGGTATGCGTACAGGAAACAAGCAAGAAAGTAGTCAGGGTGCTGTTTTTACTAGACCACAATTCGAGCGGGGGAGAGAAATCTAAGTGGTCGGCCATTGCGGCTTGTCAGGCTTCTGTGGTCTCAATCATGCCAAAGACTGCACTTCTACTGCTTGCCAAGGGTGCCGAAGAGCTGGAACTAATTACAATTGCCGACATATTGGCCCGCTCGAAGGTATTAGTTTTGTCAATTCTAAATCTCTTGAAGGTAAATGTCGTCATCGCCGGCATTAGTGGCAAAGAGGTTGTGCTTTGCAGTCGCGGTGTAAAAATTCAGCCCGACGCCTCCCTGGCGGAAGTGCAAGACCAAGATTTCGATGCCATTATTTTGCCCGGGGGTTTGGAAGGGACGAAGAACCTAAGCAAGGTTGGTCTCTCTCACGTCTAATTCTTCTAGGACAATCTTGTTGGGAAAGTGCTGCAAAAACAACACGCAGCCAATAAATTGGTTGCAGCTATGTGCGCCGCCCCCTGCGCTCTGAAGGCTCATAAAATAGCTATTGGATATAAAATTACTTCCTATCCATCCATGAAGGATGAGTTAGCCGGTAAGATCTTCCAGTCACTCTGAAGTATTAGATAATTACGAGTACAAGGATTCCGACAAAGTTGTCGTTGATCGTAATGTTGTCACCAGTCAGGGCCCCGGCACTGCCGCAGAGTTCGCCTTCAAACTTGCTGAGCTCCTGGCTGATAAAAATACAGTGGCTTCCGTCAGGCAGGGCATGCTATTTTAGTGTACGAAAAATTACTGCTCCTGGGTCCCGCCGTCCGGATGCTATCTGCCACTAACAATAAACGTGCTTAAGAATTTTTAATAAAATGCACCAGTGTTTACTGAATGACTCTTCTATTCCTTCGGTTGGGGGATAAGACTTCAACCGTGTGGCAGCGCCCATCCGTCGACCATTGCTGACAAATCAGCGCATATTCCACACCTCTATCGCAGCTAGATGCTGATTCATATTTGTTCCTATCAGACGTGCGAGTTCAGCACATCGGTTGCGTCAACTTTACGTTTCACACTGACTCTTTATTCTGGTAATTCTTCCGATAGATTCAAACGTGCCATATTTATTGTGGCGGGAATGCCCTGATTTGCGGTGGGGAAGGGCTCCCCAGTATTGGCCTTATCCTCCTCTTCCCTATGCTCCAGTTGACTGCGGGAATCTGTCAACCCGCCAGTGATGACATTGGGTGCAGTGGCTGACAAAGCCAATAATTCCGTCTGCACGTGTCACACACGCTTCGGTCCACATACCAGAATTCATCAAAGAACGTGCTTACTATTTACGTTATGTGTACGTTTACTAACACGCGGCGTTTCGTCGCCATAAAGGCGATAACGAAGCGGATGGCATGTATGCCAGTTCTTTCAACAGACAGAACTGTGTATTAATGAGGTTCGGACTGGGGTGTTATACCGGCGGGTTTGATGAATGTAGATAAGCGCATGCTGTGGATGGGACGACGCGTGCCATGGCGCCTGGCACTGGTTCACCGGCCCCAGTACGATGGATTCGGCGACAATGCGAGGCGGACGTGACCGTGGCAACTGAGAGTGGTGGAGGCGATGCAACTGCGGACGGCAATGCTGGTGGTTGTAGGGTTGGTATTGCTGGTTGTAAGTGGGGTCTCAGGTGCACGTGTTGCAGTTAACCCCAGCGTAACAGGTGTGCATATGATTGGAAAGAACCATACAGTGTCCGAATGTCCTGAAGCATTATAGGCGAGTAAAGTGTGTACGTCCGGATCCGAACAACTGGTCCGCCGGTCAGTGCGATAAACTCACAAGTGTGTGACAAGGCCAGCGGATACTCGATGTTGCGGTCGCATAAGGGACGGACTGGGATAGAGCTCGCATTACTGGTATAAAGGGCGATGATGTCCGGCAGGGTGCTGAGGCTCCTCATTGGCGGGCCGACCAATTATTGAAAGCCACGTACAACATGACTATCCTTATCGATACGACCTGACGCAACAAACAGATATGGGGTAGTCGCGAGGAGCGCCTTTGCGACTACGGATCGAGCTTCTTGGGAACAAAAGTTGCTGTCCCGCACCACGGTGTTAGACAATTCCATTCTTAAATGACTAGCGTTAACGGTATTTTCAGAGGAGCACATTCATGGGATGCAAGGAGCTGTCAACCACTCCCGACAAAAGAGAGCGTGAAGTCCTCCCGGGAGTTATTATTATGTGATTTTATCGCCAATCATAATGTCTACCAAATGTTTTTTTAACCTGAGACCATCAACAACGGCTCTGCAGTCAGTATGCAGACGATCACCGCTACCGAGCATCTGATGGGTCAACTTGTCTTCGACCAGGAAGGAAGGTGGCACTTGTGGATCTGGCTACTGAATAAGCAGGACACTAACGGGTGACAGGTAGTCTAACAGTTCCCAACAATGGTTAGGTGTAAAGCTGGTTTTCGTGTAGAGATAATAGATTTCCGACAATGAACGTATAAAGACACAGACGCACGTGTTGCTGCAGCACAAACTCGTATTGTTGACGAAAACCCATTTTATGACCGCTTGGGGGTTGCGACCTGCACGTTATTGGCTGTTGCCGATATTGATTGGTAGCCGCTTCCCTTCCATAAATCTCTTGGCAGCTGCTTCTCTGAGTCTTTAAACACCAATGCTACCGTTCAAGTCTTTCAGTCATCACAACATAGTTTGGCGACTACGTCTAGATTGCCCCAACCCAAGCTGTCTTCAGTGCTTCTCGGTTGGGGCTTCTGATTGGAATACCTACCCATATGCCAGTTACCGTAAATAATCCTGATAGCAGCACTTCAGTGAAGCAGGTCCCACCTTCAAAGGTCATAATTACCACTGTTTTGGACCTTCTTAAAGGAACAAAGTAACTCCGTTAAGCTCAATCACCCGCGGGCGTAATCCGGCCCAGCTCTTCCAGTCTAAGGTGACCAACATTCATCGACTTATGGTCGTCTCCGATTGAAGTGCACGCGTACTTGCTGCTCAGTTACCCATTTTCAAGGGATAACCTAGTATATGTACGATCTGTCCACAGCCTGAATATGACCTATCGCTGTAATGTATGCAAGTTGTGGTACCTTGACGAGTGTTGGATAAAAGAGAAATACACTCAGAGCTCTAAACCAGATATTCCAACTTGTGCTTCCCCCGTCTGTGTACTTCGTGACAGCCAGGCAGGAAAGACCCAACGGCAATCTGCACCTTGGAATTTCTCGTCGGGGAGCCAAGTGGCAATTTTACGGAGGTCTTCATGTGGGTGATAAAGAGTGGGGGAGCAGAGTGCTCCTTCAAAAAGGCATAAACAGCGACCGAAATCGGGTTGAACCAGAAAATATGCAGAGCACAATGCACGCGGCACAAAAGCAACGACCAAGGGGTTCGGTAGGTGGCTTGATGAGAATTTGTCCGACCAGTCGGTAAGCCAATAACTGAAGACGATGCGAACGGGGAGGAACGGCAATGGAATCGGAGTATACCGGTCATCCAAGACGCACAGGCCACAATGTGCTGACGGAAGGAGGAGAAGGGGAGCTGGTATCTTAGTCGGAAGAGGTGGATGGAAGAATCTTGACAATTTTTCCAACAGCAATGGTTTTGCCCTCGTCCCTCAGTGTGAAGCGGCCCATTTGTGCGAAGTCCTTGAAGCACTCCACACACACGGCCCCACCCAGCATCTAGGATAACAAAAGCACATTCAGCATGACGGTAACAAAATCTGGCTGATCGCGGTCTAACTCTGCGGATGATACGACAGACTTCGCCTTTCTCGGTCAGGATAAAACAAATATACCCTAGATACAACAATATGACCAAAACCAGGTAATAAAGGAGTACAGCAATCTCGAGGACCTTACATGTTTCGTGACCAAAACAGATCTCCCACTCCCTTGGGGAAAGGACTAAAACTTATTTACCAAGGCTGGCGAACACATGTTGGACATACCAACCCAGATGGGTCAGCGCAGTGGTCATCATTCTCTACGCCAGGCATTAAGACGGGAGATCGAAATGTCCCTCCCCCCATCCGAGTTGGTAGGCTGCCTGGTCAAGGAAGACTGATACAGAAGGGAAACTCCAGTGTCGTGCGGAGTCCATCGAAAAGCCAGGCAAACTTTCCAACCGTCAGGACAGGAATTTTTTGCCTCTGTTTCATCAGCCAAAATACGACAGGATTGTCAACTTTATTTCGCCAGAAAGTGCTGCCGGTTTCATGGTACAGGCGCCTAATTTATGACACTGCTACTACAAGTCAACTATAACAGCGACATGGAGGAGGTAGGGTATGTGCACGTGTCTGTATGGATGTAGGCTGCCATTATTAAATGGGGTGGAGATTAGCAGAATCGACTACAACCTGCAACTTGTTAATGGTTTTAATTATGCCCAACTTGGTAAAAACTGAGCGCAGCATACGGAACCGCCAACCCACAGATTTATTTAGTGTTCGGGGTGTAGCTAGTGTATTTGTGGTTCCAGGCTAGTGCCCTTTATAACAATTAAACACTTACTGCAGCCCCTCTGAAGAGCAAAGTAGGAAATTAACGGACAGGCAGATTGCGTCATTCAGACTTTAAATAATGCACGTGCGTAAATAAAGTGGCCAGCGTGCTGATAACGCAGCAATGGTGCGCCCAGGCGTGACCATAGTGTTCCTAACAGGTTCTCCTATAACGTGCCCTATAATTTATCAACTGACCACTGTCAAGACGTTTAAAATGTCCACGGTCTCAACCTCAACCACAGCAGTGGCAAGGTTGTTTCATCGAAGCACCGGCTTTTGTGAGTAGGGAGTACGCGATGGATACAAGTAAACTGCGATACAGACTGAGCTCAAAAAGTAAGCGCGCGTGTGCCATCAGATTTTCTGGCGCAAAAAAGTATGGGAAATGCAAAGCAGGGGTGGACCAACGTACCTCAAAGCGCACAATGGCCACATCGTCCTGCTTGATAAAACGTGGTGTAACGTCGGTTTTCTTGTTGGTCTTTTTGTCGATACGGCAAATGATGGTTCGGAAGCGCACCTCTTCGACGCACGCGTGGACGTGCATGACAGCGGTGAAGCCTCGGCAGATGATGGACTTGCAGTCGAGGATTACGACTTGGGCGTCGAAAATTGTGGCAGCCTATCAGAAGAAATAGAATTAAGGAGGGGTAATGGCATGCCCGTAGGAGTATGGGTCTACGCAAACGTTTCCTTGCACGGGTATCTGGACTTTGGACGCGCTAAAATCCCTAGTGGCCGGTATTTTTCGGCATCACAGACAAGGTCGCGGTTTCAGAAAAGAGGTGACATCTCAACGTAATTGGCCATCGTTACCGACGATGTCCACCGAAGACCATAACGATCAAAGACGTACAGAGGAGTCCCAACTGGCCAATA